TAACATCAAGGGTTTGTTTTAGTGACCGACAGTGTTTGTTCTTTTGCATTTTTTTTGTGTGTCATTATAAACAAATAAATAAATAAATATTGTTGTTTTATTTTGCAGTAAAAACATAATTAAAATGATACATTTACATTTGCTTGCAAAACAAAACTGCATAAGATAAAAAAAGACTTGTTTATTTGTATTACCCTATTAGCATAAAACTTGCTTAGTTACATTAGATGTTTTGCTTAAAACAAAACAAAAATAAATTAATTAATTAATAAAAAAAAACAACAGCTGGGTAGGAAAAAAAATAAACAACACGAATACTCAAAATAAATTTAAGATCAAAATTTTTTATTTTTTTTTCCATTTCTTTTTTAATCTGCTTAGTGGAAAACAACACAAAGATACTAAATACGAACATGGCGTCATGATCCACTTATACTTTCTGCAGCAAATAGTATGTTTTCTGTGAACAGTATTAATAATGACCTGATGCATTTACCAACATAAGTACTGTAGCATACAACAAAGGACATTTCACAAAATACTATATCCCACAATGTAATGCGCTCAAACTTGAACTTCCAGTTCCAGTGTATGTATGAAAATGTGTATAAATATACAGTTCTGAATACAAACAAAGTGTCAGTCCACAGAGGGTCGTGGTGAAATGCATAGTGCTGAAATGCACATCAGAAACAGAAATGAACAATGACGTTGCACATTCGAGAAACTAAAAGTTTGCGGAATGAAATATATTTCGAGTGTCCTCAGAAAACGCTTCATAATCAGTTTCTACAGCTGTTCTCTCAGGATCTCTGGTTGTCTCTGGTGGAAAAAAATGAAGTGAAAACTTAACTTGCAGTTTCATTCTGACCTTCTAAAAATGTGTAGAACAGGTAATTTATATTTAAACCTGCATTACACCACAATAACTAAATAAATATTATGCATGATGAAATAGATGATTTTGAGAGTGTTTCATAGGAAGCACACGGATGGTTTTGCATTCGTCTGCAGTGTTGGTCTGTGTATATCATCATTCAGATGTTTTAGGCCAATGTGTTATGTACCACTGTTTTATCATGTATTGCACCAAGAGCTCATTAAAATGATGTTGTGCAATAAAATAAAAAACATAAAACAATGTGTTCTGTTCCATCCACATCATCCAGCAGTTTTGTTATGGATGGAAGGAAATAAAGTAGTTTCCAATGATTTATTCTGTGTTTTGATATTAAAAAGTTGTAATTGCCATAAAAGGTTGAAACTATAGCATAAAATGTGTATATATACTGTATATACACATATATAAAAGGCATATAATAATGATAAAATGTAATATTTATGGAATTAAAAGTCAAATCTGACCAGATGGAATAATTATGAGATAAAAAGTCAAAATTATGAGCTAATACGTCATAATAATAACAAAGTAACAATCATGAAACAAAAAGTTGAAATTATGAGATAAGTCAAAACTATGACATAAAAGCCATAATTACGAGAAAAAAAGTCACAATAATGATAAAAATCCATAATCATGACATAATATTGTGATTTTTTTACTCAATTATAACAATCATAATTTCAACTAATCATTTATAATTTTAATACTAATAATTTATAATTTCATAATTTCAATTTGATCTCATAATTATGACTTAGTGTCTCATATTTCTAACTTTGTGTCTTAATTTGTGTATCTCAGTTCTTACATTTTATCTCATAATTGTGACTTAGTATTTCATATTTCTGATGATGTGTGTCATAATTTTTGTATTTCATAGTTTTTACATGTTATCTCATAATTGTGACTTAGTATTCTACATTTCAGATAATGTGTATGTCATAATTTTTATATCACAACGTTTTTACATTTTATCTCATAATTGTGACTTAGTATTTCATATTTCTGATGATGTGTATGTCACAATGTTTATGTCTCATAGTTTTTACATTTTATCTCATAATTGTGACTTGGTATCTCACAATTTTGACTTTTTTAATCTCATAATTTTTACTTACAAAGGCATGACTTGGTATCTCAAAATTTTGACTTTTATCTCAAGATTATTGCTTACAAAGGCATGATTTTTGTTTTTCTAATGTGGCATAAACAGGCTTCTATATTTTCCTATCTAAGCGAGTGGCTGTTGGTCAGAATAAGATGCAAGGTGGATCAGACCTTATGACAACAGTATGTGAGACTGTTTCATCAGCAGATGTTTGCTCATCTTTAGCTGCTCGTCTCTGAGAATATATTTCCATCAACAGCCATCAAATCCATCCTCTTCAAACATCTCAAAGACAACAACCTGATAGCAGACCAACAGCGCAAGACTTTTATCCAGACCAAGACGGCACGGATGACTGCTCTCCGCCGCGACCTGACATACTGTCATCATGATGGGATGTTTTATGCAGCGTAATGATGGGCAACATCAAAACCTGCTACCTACTGAGAGCTTTCACAGAGAATATTCAAAATAAGACGGCCAGATAAAAGATGGATAAAGTTGATTCCTTTCATTACACACCCCAAATGTGTTAGAGATATTTCTAACAAGCATTTATATTTCAGATTATGACAAAAAATTTGAGTTAACCAAAAGAGAAAATACACAAGACAGCAGAGTGCTTCTGCTAACTAGACTATTAGCAGAGTTAAAGCATGAATCACGACATAGACACGAGTGTGGCGCTTGTATCTAGTTAGATATCAAACTTCACATTAAAACCGACTCATTCAAAGCTGATCACATCCGCATAACTGTGAGCATGAGGGTGTTGAATGGAGGACAGTACCCTTATGTGAATTCAT